AAGTACTACCATCAGCTATAGTATTCTCAACTTGGAACGACGACCTCCGTAGCCGAGTAGTGTCGCTCTCTCTGAGATCCCAGGTTCGATTCCCGGTCTCAGGTCTGGGTCTTTGTGTCACCTTCGTTGTCTCACATACTCCATAATACAGGGGCTTTAGCTACTCATCTTGGATTCTGAGCAATGTATGTGATGTTCTTTAATATTTATTTATTGCCAATTCATTTGATCTTGATTTACTGATTTGATCCTTTCTTTTCTTACAGGTAAGTCGCGAAAGTATATTTTCCATCATCGGGCAGTAAGTAGTAGTAATATAAGATATTATTTTACGTTAACTACCAATTTTTACCATTTTTAAAAATATCTAATTTATGAGTCTTAGGTTTGAATAAAAACTTTTCTCTTGGGTCGTAGGTGGTAGACAAAAAAACTTTTTTTTTAAATTTCCGTCTTTCCGATTCTTAATCGGAGAGAAAGAAGTTTTTGTTTGAATTTTGAATATTTACAATGCAAAACATGTGTATTAAGTACATTAAACTTAAGTTGCATATCATTTGTCAGCATCGCTTGTTTTGTTTTATGACATGTAATTATCTAGCTGTATTCTCAAACGTTGGAACGTTAGAATTAACGACTTTATACTAATCTTTAGTGTCATTAATCAATATGTCAATCGATATTATGCCTTCCACGTTGCTAACTTTTACATGGTACAATAGTGTTTCTTAATATATTGGTCCTGACCCCTGGGGGTTTTTACCATAAAAATTAACAGGAAACAAAAATAAAACAAATCTCTGTAGCCACCTAAATTTTAGACAACAACAAATTTACTGAATTTCATTGGAAATTTAATGCAGGAAACTTCAGCTTTATTAAGCAAATGATGTTTTTTTACCGAACAGTTTTAAAGTGTACTATTAATTATAAGACCTTTTTCCGACGAATTTCAACGAATTTATGTAGTCTTAATCTGTTTGCAGTTATGATTAAACTTGACTGCAAAAAGTTAATCTATTGTAGTCACCTGGTAAAATTAACTATTGTTCATGAGAAAATATAGTGGAGTTTTTTATATCAGTGTATTTCGTGAAAGCTTGTAATGTTTAATGAAATAAAAAAAAAAAAACTTTCACTTCGATTAAACGGTCAGGGGCTGACGAATTTGTCACACGAGGGGGCGTGATTTTAAATAGATTGAAAAACTATGTCGTAGGGCGTACACGTGAACCTTTGTTCATTTATATAGTAGGGGAGACCTAGGAGAGTTGTGACAATTTTTACATAAGGGGCTCTATCTCGCTTAAGAAACATTCCACAGTTATGACTCATGTGAATTAGTTTAGCGCCATTCCTTCTGTTTTCAAAACCATCACTAAAATTAATTAAAGTATAATAGTTTCTGAAAAAAATAACAAAATTCAAGTCCACTCCCCTTGTCACAACTCTCCTACCACCGAGGTAAGTTGTGACAGGTACCGAGGTAAGTTGTGACATCAATGTATTTAAGCTATAAGATATAAAAAATACCATTACATACGACATAAATAAATCAAGCACGATTTTTTTTTTATCAAATCAGTACTTTCATCAGTACCAAAATAATAAATTTGACTTGGAAAACACACTGAACATGTTTGCAAAAAGTTGTCCCAGTATTCTTGTGCACTGTACAAACTTAGTAGGATCGCGAATCAGTGCACGGTCCTTACAGCTTATCACGCGTACGTAGTTTCTACTGTTCGATACGGTTATATGTTATGATTATATTTTGGGGATATTCGACTGATTCTGTAACTGCCTTTAGAGCCCAGAAAAAAATGTGTTAGGAGCATATTTTATTAAACTAAATATTATGACCCTGCCATCAATCTATATATTCGAAGTTGGTATTTTTGTCAAACAGGATCAACAACTATTTGAAAATAAGACGAGATTGCGTCATCGAGACAAATTGTGTACGATACCCTCTAAGACAGCTCAGTTGAACAAAAGTATCTTTTGTATGGCTCCAAAAATTTTTGATAAAATTCCAAAAACAATACGTAATCTGGATAATTGTAATGTTTTTAAAAGAAAACTTTATAAATTATTAGTAGCTAAAACATATTATAGTGTAAACGAGTATCTAGCCGACAGTACTTTGTACAGAATTAGTTGAATTTTTGATATAACATGTTATTGATTAGATTAGTTGACAATTACTAACCTACAAATATTGTATGCTTTTTAGGCAGATCACGGTGTAACTATTCAGTCCTTGCATCCAATATCTTTATATAACCTGCGATCAACAATAAAGATTGATTTGATTTGATTAATCATCTTTTTATACCTACCAACTAAAACAACATAGTATTAATATTAATACTACAATAATATGATTGATCTCAAAGCGATACAATATTTAGTTAATGAAAATATTATAGTTACTTGTTATGAGAATATTCTCATCAGTATAAAATCTTAATCTAATCAGATTCACATTTATGCCAAACGTAATGAAGTTCGTCGCCAGTACAATCTAACTGTGCCTAGCCTTTGCATTCCAGGCTTTGGACCCACTGATCATTCGATCTGCTGTCTGCATAGGCTTCAAGGCAAACCAAATAAAAGCAGTTGTTCTATTCTTCTTATTAGTCTTCTTTGCTTTTTTAGGTTTCTTTTTTTTTCTTCACTTATGACACGCTTCTTAACATTCTTAGATTTTCAGTCTCTCGTGTATAGTTATTTGGTATTCTCAAAAAAATAAGTATGCGGTATGCCATTATACACCTTAAGTAGCTACTAACACACCAACAAACATCTAAAGTTAATAAAAAAAATGTAAAAATAGCCCAGCAGAAATTTGGAGTAAGTTAGGAGAGTTGTGACAGGCTGTCACAACTCTCCTAGGTGTTCAAAATGACGTCTTGGTCCGAATAATAATTCATATTTTCTAAACACGATGCGCATACAAAAAATCAGTGCCACGTATTGAGACTTAAATAACTACATAACTTAAGAAAAAATAACACATCAATGCACATATACTAAGATATGATATATATTCAAATAATATTTTGAAGAAAAACTTACTTTTCGTATTTTTTTGTACACTGACGATATATTTACGCAACTGTGCCACATGCACCGTCGACAGGTACTGAGTCGTGTAGCGCGTGTCGAGAACGACAAACAAGCGTTAATGCCATCTCGCTTACTATAATACGTAGAGAGAAATCCTCCTTGTCACAACTCACCTCTGTCACAACTCACCTAGGTCTCCCCTACTGTTGAAAGCCTATTTCCTATTCTAACATTGTTATTGAAAACGCCCAAAGAATAAAAATGGAACCTTGCCCTAAAAAAATCCAGAGCAAATTAACTTTTTATAGTGATTTTTTATTATCGATGAAAATATTGATTTTAAGATATTTTTTTCTGTCGTCACTGAGTTTTCGTTTCGTTGATATCGAAATACTTTTGAAAATCTTTGCTCCAAATGTAATTTACGATTGCGGAAGCTAAGCATTTTTACCGATGGTCGATAACGGGTTGGGTGACCAAAAATTTAGCACCTCCAGTTTCAATTATTCAGAAAGTACGTTACACCGTTAATCCCCCTTGCATTTTCATTCGTTAACACTCACTAATCCGCACTGAACTCGCTTGGTGGCTCGTTTACTTATCCTATTTTGATTATAAAAATAGGAAAGGCTTGTGTCACAGCAATGGAGACATTAATAGGCTGATGATGATGATTCTTTTTTTAATTGAATAGGTTCTGAAACTACTAAATATCTTTCAAATAATTGTATCACCTACGGAAGCTACATCATACACGGGAGACTTAGGCAATAATTTACTAATTTTTATTTATATTTATTTTTAATAGTGACAACCTCAATGGTCAATTGAATCGCTCGCCAGCTCTTAACAGATCTCGGATTCGATTATTTCGAGTTTGTTTCAAGGTAGCACCTGCGTTAAGGTCCTGAAGTGATTCCGTGAACATCCGAACTTGAATTCGAATTTACTCATGCGTACGAGTTCACGTCATTTTGTGCAGCAATTCTATTGAGTCCATTTTTTGTGTAAAAATACAAAACAAGCTTGATTGATTCCTCTATTGATTCAAGGGTAACCTTGAATTGGTAAAGCCAATTCAAGGTTAAGCGGACGTCATTTTCGAAGTGAATTGGGACACCTGAGTGAATTCGAATACGGGTTCAGATTTTGAATCTCAGGTCTGATTTCCATTCACGACTTCTAGTTACTCTGTTTCCGAAAACGAAAATTCGCCTACTTTTAATACGACTTCAAAGAAACGCATTTTTCGTTTATGAAAAGAAAGTAGGATCTGAAACAGCATCTGTTGAACAAATAGATAATGTTAGACAAAACCATATACATTGTTCAGATTCCAAGATGAGACGCTGAAGTCCCTGTATTACGGAGTATCTGAGATCACGAAAATAACACAGCACCCAGACCCGAGACATAGAGGAATCTTCATTTTCTATGCTGACCCGACCGGAAATCGAACCCGGGACGTTACTATATTTTTCAGATCTTTCTTCAAATTTATAAACGACAAAAGGCTTTAATTACTTAGTTTGTAATCAAAATAGTGTATGTGATATCTTAAATTTATATTTATCTTAAACACTACAATAAAGTAAGAAACTACTTTGTAAGATGTCGCTCCCAGTACTGACATGTTTCCAATTCAATTCAACAGGTTCTATTAAAAATGAATGAACGTTTTCAATTATTAATCCTATCGGAGTGTGAAAATGCGAACCAACTGTGGATTCGTAGCTAGTCACTCGTTAAGCGTACGTATTTTGTTCATCTCAACAATAACCATGATATTTTGAGCTCACGTAACCAGGAACAATTACCCCTGGACCGCCTTTAAATGTAATATTAACAGAGAAGCATGGAAGCTCTAAGTAGTTGGTCGTTTATTCACAATTTCTCTATAGAGCATGCGCGAGGACTATCCACAATCCAGTATCTGTATACCGCCGCGCTTATTAATACGTATCTCGGGTTTATGCCATTCCAAATTCGAAAATAGAAGGGCTTTATAAAAAAAATAAAACATCACTCTTTTTTTTAAATTAAATAATAACTCTTACTCACCATTTTCAGCCAAGTGTTCGAAAATCGAAATGTGAAATATCAACAAGTGTCAATTGCGTACCGTGTTCGTGATATTACATAATTACATTTTTTTTCTGAGGACTCTTTCTAAAGAGTTTTATTATCTTTACGTTTTTTTTTTTGTTGTTTTAAGTTGTGTGTAAGACGCAGGCCGTTTACCTGTTGCGATCGTATGGCGTAGGAGGCATCGTAACGTAGAGTACATAAACGAAATGCGGATCAATTTTCATAGCTCGCGTGAGCTTTGCCGCTAGATTTAAAAAAGATCCTTTTTGAATTTATATTCTAAATATAAATTTTACGATCCCCACGTCCTTTCTTTAATAAAAAAAAAACTTTATACGTTTTTAAATATTTTCTTTTATGTCGAGTTTCATAGTGTTATTGTAACGTTACTTAAAGTGTTTTCGGGAGCAAATTCAAGTCATATTGGTATTTTTCTGTTTGTAAGAATAGCGTTAATTATTAAGTTTTTTTTTTATTTTATTCCAGACGAGCGGTACATAGCTTTCTTTGTTTTTAGAATTGAAAGGTGTAAAGTGACTTTTTGAGTATGAAGTGAGATTTAATTTATAAATATGTAAAATATTGTTATAAATAAATATAAATGTCGGACGGCCCGTCCAGGCTTCCGTCGCTTATGCCATCAAAATGCAAATCGCACGAAATGTGGGCTGCCATGACCAGATCTATTGAGATTCTCGTCGCTTTCTTCGAGTATTATGCACAGAGGTAAGATTCATTTTCGTACATTATTATTTTTATAAGAAAAATAATCGGTTCGTTTTTCTTTGTGTACCCCACAGGGAATACCGTCCAAATGAAGATATATGACAAATTACTAATTGAAGACTAGAACCAATTTTTATTAGCGGAAATATGCTGAAATCTTACTTGTCAGACAGGTGTCAGGTTATTAAAATTACTGAATTCATAAGCTCTCCCATAGATGTCAGATACGGCATTACCACCCTCGGTCCGATACTATTTTTAATCTATGTTAATAATATGAATTTAAACTAAATTTTGACCACCTTACATTGTATGATGACGATACATGTCTGTTTGGTATTTGGCAAATCTATCCATTAAAGAATTTATGGAGCGCAAAAAATTTGGATACCCTAAACGAATAGTTTTCTTGTAATCCATTGACAGTAAATATACTCAAAACATCTAACATGATTATTTCTGCAAAAAAACAAAGAAATCCCAGATTATGATCCTCCCAAAATAAATAACGAACCAATTAAAAGGCCTCACGAAACAAAATACTTGGGGTTACGAATTAATGATAAACTAACATGGAAACAACACATTAAGCATATACATTCAAAATTATCAGCTATACTAGGAACACTGCGAAAGATAGCACACTGAATACCAAAAAATGTCAGATCAATATACAATTCTTTACAAACAAACAGACATTTAACACTTTTCACTGTAGGTATTTAGTAAAGAAGTATAAATCTACATGAATATTTTTTTATATTAAAAAAGGTGAATCATACTCACTAATGGGAAAGAGAAAAAGTTACAAAAATATCGTGCCATGCTTTCAATTATTCTTTTTTTTCTCCCTTATAAACTCTAGACTATATATATTTACTACTTTTAAAATAATATTAGTCATATCCCATTTAAGCGTTTGATAATAAACATTACTAGCTTTTAAAATAACTATTTTATTTTATGAAGTTTACCCACATTAACGTAAAAGTGATAATAAAATAAATTTACTACTTAAAGTAATAGGATAATTATCAAAAAGCCTGGGGAACAAAAAGACTATATTAAATAATCCAAGAAATAATAATACTCCGTCAAATATAAACATGTGCAACTTTATTTCCTTAATGGGAAAATTTGTGAGGATGGACGCATGTTTGTTAGTATTTTACGCAAAAACTACTGAACGGATTTTGATGAAATTCGGTATACAGATAATTCTAATCCTGAATTACGTATAGATTTATCTCACTAAACAATTCCTTAAGGAAAACACAGGCGAAACCGCGGCGGAAAACTAGTATTAATAAATGGCAGCAGTGTTCTAATTTAATAGGGCTACACATAACAATACTGCCATCTGTTGGCCCGTAAAAATAACCTTAGAGTAGGTATCATGTTAAATAAAATATTATGACAAACGTCGTCATTATCCCTTAAGCGCAAGGAAATGAATATTTACCTGAGATATGAGGCATTTGGGCTTAATATTTATGAGTTACTGTAACTTTTGCTGGTATCTTAGAATTTATTTAATAATCCTGTCTCTTGGTAACCTTTTAGCAATGTAACTCTCTAGATCTTGTCGAACTAAATTGTTAAGACTAATCGTAAAGACTCTTTAGGCTACCATGGCAATTGAGTTTTACAACCAGTTATGAATAAACAAATTTTAATCTTTCTTGGCAACAAGTTGTGACAGATTTTTTCTTTCAAACAATTTTTTTTTCTTTTGTTGGCAATGTTTGTGGTCAATCCATACTTGTTCACAGAAATACTGACCAGGGTTAATTTTCCTGACAGTGACACTTTGTTGCTATACCGGTAAATTATTGAAGATAAAAACGCTTTTACTATATACCTTTATATCGTATTGCGCCAGACAATGAAATAGAACGTCATCAGCTCTTTTACGTCCCCACTGCAAGGGCTCAGGCCTTCCTTATGGATGGTTAAGGAAGATGGGCCATGACCCTCCACGCTGGCCCAATGCGGATTGGAGGGTATTAACGACTGCTAATGCAGCCGGGACCAACGGCTTAACGTGCCTTCCGAAGCACGGAGTAGCTCGAGATAATAATTTTTTGTCACCCATCCCGTGACTGACCCTATCGAAAGTTGCTTGACGATAACGATCGCGGGTCGCGGCACTTATCCACTACGCCACCGAGCTACTCACGCCACCGAGATACTCTAGAATGAAATAGAACAAAGGAAGATTATATTGACCGAAAAACAAAATATTTTCTCGCAAATTTGTTAGTGTTACATATAGATCTTAGCTAAAAAGTAGCTCACATAATTATCAATATACCCTAATAAAAAGGCGTATAATTACGAAAAACCAACTCCATGGTCGATAACTCGCGTGACAGTTTCAAGAAGTCACCATTCCGAAAGTCCCGGATTTGATTCAGAATAAATTCCCTTCTAGTCTGGGTGTTGTGTTATCTAATTGTTATTTCAGATATTAACAATACAAGTGCTTTAGCTACTTAGTTTCGCATACGAATAACTTATGTGATGTTTGTTATAAAAAAAAGAACTAGTGAATTTTAAAGATCATGTTGTTGCGTTCTCTAAAATATGGTTGAGTGAAGCGATGGCTGGCCTATGTGTCATGCTCGTGAACGGCTGCTGCTAGTGGAGACGAGTCTGCTCTAGACTATTTATTCTTGTCAATTTTGTTTTATTATTTTCATGTATATTAAATTATTTATCGGTGAGTTTGTTTGACTTGTCAAGTGACGAGTATATAGACAGTTTTATTATTTTATATTTTTTTTAATATTTCAATGGAATGTGACTTTATATTTTTATAAAATCATTTTTCAATCTTGACGACTCTGTATGAAATAAAACAGGGAGAGAAAAGCAGCTCTTTGCGAGTTTCTTGCCGGTTCTTCTCGGTACAGGGTCTACCGCCGCAGATTTACGAACCGATAGCATACAGTTTCGACTTTCACAATTGCTTGTAATGAATAAATAATTTTGATTTGATTTGATTCATTTTAGAATACGCCTTATTTGGGCGTTTTTTTCTTGGAAATTTTTCGATTTTTTTCAAGACGTTTCTAGTTTTTATTTATTAACTAACAAATGAATAGCTTATGGAAGTAAGACGTGGTTGTACTCTTAAGATGGCTCAAGTTCACCCAGCCATGATTGGTGTTTCTCTGACCGATTGTATTAGGAACAAAGAAATCCGTAGGAAAATCAATATTACTAACGTTGCTCGAAGAATTGCTCAGCGGAAGTGGCAGTGGGCGGAACATATAGTCAGAAGCTAGCGACGCTCAGTGGGTAGGCGGGGGCACCAGATCACCTGTCGAATGTTACAGGAAACGCAGCAGCGATTGTCGTGGAGATCTATGGGGGCCCTATGCCTACCAGTGGGCGTTCGTACGGCTGTTGATGATGATGAAATAGCTAGAGTCGCTCATTGGTACTAAAGTTTTACCTTCCCTGATACGCATGTCCGTAGCCGAGTGGCTCGCACGCCGGGTTCAAAAGTGTCGCCATCTCTGAGATCCCGGGAGATCGGGTCAATGTAGAAAATGAACTTTTCTATATTGTCTCGAGTCTGGGTATTGTAGTCCCTTCGTTGTCTCGGATACTCCACAATACGGGGTCTTCGGCTACTCATCTTGGAATCTGAGCAATGTGTGTGATGTTGTTTAATATTTATTTATTATTTCTTTTCATACACAGGAAATAAAATATCAGCAATTTCTTCTTATGGTTTCGTTACGTTAATGGTATATCGTTAACATATGTATATCCTTGATCTTATTTTCTAACTTCTATTGTTCGGAGATAAAAAAAAATAAAGAAAAAAACAACATCATTCATAGACTACGAATTTATCTTGAATGCTTATCGTTCTTTTTTCTTTTCAAAATAAATTTACACTGTTTGATATTTTTGTTGATATATGTATTATGTGTTCAAACAGTTACAAATGTATTTAGCTGCTCAACGATGCGTGTAAGATAAACACCGCTCTGTTGACGTGGTAACGTATTTTGCAGGAAAATGATACACGTAATAGTTCTATTTACTAGGAATAATATAGATGTGATTATATTTAAATATGATCCTCGATATATATACTCATTACTACTGGTGGTGGCGTAAATTATAAAGCACACCTACCGCGTATGATGTAGCTCCTTGAAAGTGAATGAATTTTCATGATAGGATCAATATTCCCCTACAAACAAACAAATGAATTTTGACACTTTAGCTTTTTATAATATTATTAAAGACCTCTCTTTCCTGTGAGTTAACTCACATATTGTAGCACATGTCACCCGCGTATGATGTAGCATCAATTGAGTGAAAGCAGTTTTAAAATCGGACCAGTGATTTTGGTGCCTATCCGATGGAAACAACCAATACAATCTTTCCGTTTTATGATATGAGTATAGAGAAATAACACAAATTGACCTATGTTTGACTACATATTATATTATACTCTTACTTTTTTAATAGAGAAAATTTAAAACATTCACGTTTCGGTTTTATTAGTATTGATTTCAGTTACATCGGTTTTATTTATTTATTAGGTTCACCTGCGATTGCATTTATACAATATTTTTCTTCAATGTAAAATACCTAATAAAATGTAAAAAAACTATTAAGATAAACCTTTAACATAATTGTATAATAAAGTAAGATTATTAATAAATTCAACGTTGCAGATAATAATATCGCCCAGAAAACTTTTAATTCTTCTATCAACTAAAAGAAGCGTTTGGGGCCAAATGACCAAATCCATTTATCACCTAACATTTATCCATTTATCACCTTATGAATTTAGCACCTAAAACCGACCTTTGAAGATTTCATAATTCACAACCAATTCGAAACTAGTGATTATGGTTTGGCGACCTCTTTTAAGTTTATATAGATGATAAATACCTATTTAGGACAAATATCATAAATATCATCATAAATAAGTAACACTGAGTGCGATAAATTACGGGGAAATGAATATC